GTGTGTGTGTGGTAGGAAAGCAGAGTGAGTCACACATGAGGTTCACATAACCCCACCTCTGGGATGACCAGGATGACTTGCCTCAGTCTGCCCCTCTGTAAGGACTGGCTGCTCACATGGTCTCTGGCACCTGTGTGCTACCTTGGTTGCATGTGATGTGGGCGCCAGAGGTCACTCTCATCTTGTCCCTGGCTTTGTCCCTCCCTTGCATCTGTGGCGCCTCCCTTGAATGCCCCTCCTCTCCATGAGCAGCTGGGCTCTTGGGTGGGCTTGCCTCTCCAACCCCCCCAACCCTGGACAGAATACTAGGAAGGAGTTAAGTTAGCCCTACTGGCCTCTGGCGGGTCCACAGCAGCGCAGAGCCACTTCTGACAGCTGACATTGCCCAGTGGCACCGGGTGTCCGCTCCCTTTCTGGCCAGCCTCATTGCCATGGTTACAGATGCAGAGCCCAGTGCTCTGCACTGAACATGAAGCACCCCTGCTCCTGGCCAGTGCAGCTGTGCAGGCCAGGCGACCTGGTTCTGCTTTGCTTCAAACACTGGCAGTTCTTCAATCTGGTACTCAACCAAGTACTGACCTTTTTATTTTGACAGCACCCCAAGGCCCAGGTTCCAAGTGAAAATGTCCAGGCCTAGATATCAGAGACACAGATTCCAGTCCAGTGCTGCCCCAAACAAGCCCCGCGTCCATCATTCCTCCCTCTGGACCTCAGAAACTCCATTTTTCCTCTGAAATAGAACTTGACTGGCCAGGTTTGGTAGCACACATCTGTAATCCCAGCTACCTGGGAAGCAAAGATCAGGAGGATTGTGGTTAGAGGAGCAAGATGCAGGTATGAGGGGCAGGCCTTCTTCCCAAGTGCACAGAGCTCTGCCACCATGAAGGCACGTGGTGAATGTACACAGGCACACGTGCCAGGGAGGGTGTGCTACCATCGAGCAAAGCATGTCCCTGAGTGTGTGTGTGTGTGTGTGTGTGTGTACATGCATGATGGAGGCTGTGTGTGACTCTGTGTGAGGGCAAAGACTCCATGTCTATGTGTAGTGGAAGTGCGTGTGTGTGTGTGAGTGCAGGGGCATGAGTGAGCCTGAGTGTGGTTGTGCCTGGGTGTGTGTGGAGAATCCAAAATTGAGTGGGCCCTGCTCTACCTGCACTAAGGGCCCTCTGGGAAAGACAAGCCTGTTGCAGGAAAGGGATGCAGGCAGACAGAGGTGACTTGCCACAGCATTAACTGTGCAGTGACCCAGGAGCTGAGACTCAGTGACAGTCCAGGGTGGCCACAGAGCACTAAGGATCAGTACTGGCCACAGGGCAGCTTGCAAAGGGGGAGACTGCGTCAGCTGTCTGTGGCTCCAGCAGCAACACGCCATGAACCCTGTGGTCCACACACCACCAGGAGCGACTTCAGGCAGGTCCTTACTGGCTAGCATCAAGGTGTCAGCTCTGGCTCCTTCCGGAAGCTCAGAAGAAAATCTGCTTCCTGCCTTTTCAGCTCCTAGTGGCCCATGTTCCACCTCTGAGGACCTCTGTCCTCACATCTCCTTCTCTCCCTTATCCGGACTTTGTGATGACATCCAGCCACACTGTCTCAATCCAGGACCATCTCCCATATCAAGTCCTTGATGGAATCCCGCCAACGGAGTCCCCTCTGCCCTGTGCATCACACCCACCCTCTCAGGTGCTGGGGATTAGGACACAGCATCTTTGGGGGAGGTAAGATTCTGCCCACCAGAGACTGGCATGGGGAGGAGGGGTGGAGAAGCAGAAGTGGGTCCTGGGTCAGGAGATGCACCTGAGGGCCAGGCGTGGGAAGGAGTGGTGAGGTCACCTGACCTTGTGGCTCCAGGTTTGAGCAGACAGCAGCCATGAAACCCATGGCTACCCATGGTCCATGCACACAGACCTAAGATGACCAGATGGTCACAACGAGCACCAGCAGTGTTCAGTGTACTCATGAAAACCACTCTCTACTAGGCAATCAGGACTCTAGAAGGAGTGGCTGATTCTAGGCAGCAAGGTGCAAGGCAGGCTAGGACACTGAGAGGACAAGTGGGCAAGCCAGGAGGACCTAGTACAACACGGAGGGCTGCACAGGTCCAAGGCAGCACACACAGGACTCAATGCAGAAAGAAACTGGAGTGTATCAGAACACAGCAAATGTGTTCCCACTCACAAAACTATAGGTATACTGGCCAGGGAGGCAGCTCTTTATTCTGAAAGTTGGTGTGTATAGGAGAGAAGCAGAGATGTCATCTTGTGACCATTCCCACACCAGTCAGGCATCAGGGACCAAGCACCCACGACAGTGTTCCTCTGTGTAGTGGATTCCAGCTGACAAACAAAGGTGGAGTTGCAGACTAAATACCCCTGCTCACCAACCCTGGTTAAATGTCCTTTGTGGGCAGCTGGACCCTGGACCCTGTACCTCCATGGCTGTCCCTCCCCTTGCAAATGGCAAGGCCTGCCAGTGCTCTGCAAAGGCTCCATGGCAGGTGGGAGTCCCTACAGTGGAAGTTGTGACCTTCCCTGAGGAGCTGAGGAGCAGGGTAACTTGGGAAACAGGCAATTACCCAGGTTGGCAGCTAGACTCCTAGGTTGTCCCTGAGGACACAAGTGGCTAGGTGGGACAGCCAGAAGCAGCAGGTCGGCAGGGCAAATACAAGTGACCTCAGAGCAGGGCTGGGGGGATGTCAGGGGCCCCTAGGCACTAGTTGAAGGTGAATCCTGTGAGCCACAACCATCATGTACTGACCTGGAGCCTCTGGATCAATGGAGAGCTCGTCCCCACACAGACATGGGTGCAGCATTTGGCTACTGGCCTGGTGACCCAGGACCCTCTGCCCCAAGCTGAGAATGGCCACCTAGAAAAGCCCTCCCAGCAGCAGTGTTCTCCTGGGACAGGCAGGTGGGATCCTGATTTGTAGTTTCTGCCAATTTCCTTGGTGAAAAGACCCCCATCGTGGTCAACTTCAAGATTCTGTGATGTCAACTGGCTCACAGAAATTCCTGAAAATTTAACGATGGTTGTCAGGAACCAAATTTAGCTTGTAGAGTGCTTGTCTAGCATGCGAGAGGCCCCCAAAAAAGAAAAAAATAACAATCTGCTTTCAGGAGCTGTTTAGAGCTGGCCGTCTGCTAGCTGGCTCAGATTCCCTTCCTGAGCTGTCAGCTCCTTGCGCTGGGTGGGCCATGGGGCAGGTATAGGTTGAGGTTGCAGACAACAGAGTCCATGCCAGCAGATTTAAGCACAAAAAGCTTTATTCAGGGTTCACAGCAATGCCGAATTCAGATGGAGCTTCCAGAAAAGACACCTCAGAAGCCACCCCAGGCTCCTGCTGTGGCTGGGAGCTGCCACAGCCCAGAACATCCCAGCTCTATCTCAGTCTGTGCCCTGCCTGCTCCCTGTCCTCTCCCCAGGTAACTCAGCTCACAACCAAGTCTTGAGCAACTGCATCTGACTGGTGACAGAAAGCACGAGAGCCCAACTGGAGGAGCCTGGAAGGCGGGCTTACCCCCAGCCCTCACAGCACAGGGGCCAGCCACACAGCAGAGCCCACCCACTCCTCAAGGCCCTAAGCCCCTCTCTGTGCTAAGTGGTGAGGCCCTACCTGCCTGGCTGGGTGGGGCTGACCCACTGTCTCTGAGACCTAGAAGACATGTAGGTCAGTAGAAGGTGAGGAGGAAGACAGCTCACACAGGAGAGAACATGCTCACGTGTGTCCCCAGCAGTGGGCGGCACCCAGGCACGAATGCCACCTTGAGGGGCTCGACCGCCTGCTCCTTTAAGTCTCCATTATGGCCCTAGGCCCCACTGCGAAGGAGTCACAGGAGGAGAAGGGCAGGGGAAAGGAGAGAGGGGAAAGAAGAAGAAGGAAGAGGAGGGTAAAGGAGGAGAGGGGAGAGCAGGGAGGAAGGAGGGAGGAGGAGGAGAGACAGCAAGGGGAGGGCTGTACCCAGGAGAGACAGGACTCCAGGAGGCAGAGTGGAGCTCCAATTTGCAGGAGATTCCTGCAGTCCTCCCCACATGAGAGAATGTGCTATCTCCTGGGTCCACAAGAGGGTCAGAAGGGTGGGGCCAATTAAAGACCCGGCTCTGGGTTCGTGGAAGGAGGGCAAGGCACCTGCTCCCCACCTTCTCTTCCTGTGCAGGGCTGGCCTAGCAAATCAGGCAAGGAGGGAGGAGCCCTCCACCCCTATGAGCTCCTGAAGAGCCACGTTTGGGCTGACTCCAGGATAACAGCAAACAAAGAGCTCTGCTGGACCTGCCCTTTACTGCCAGCCTTGGTCCACATTCTTTCAGGGTCATGTCAGGCATGACCAAAAGGCAGCAAGCTCCTAGCATGGGGAAGCTCTCCCACCACGTGTACCCTAGGAAAGAGATGAAGGAGTGCAGGGACCCCAATCACTTCATGAGCCTGTGCCCTGGCCAGGTAGCAGCTGGCCAGCAAAGTGCTAAGGCTGAGTCCTCTGTACCGATGCCACACAGACCACTGGGCTAGAGATGCCCTGCTCATTGCACATACATAGCTGCTTCGTTCTGTGCCCCACAGAGAGCCAAGGATGGCACCCAAACGTACTCAACACAGGCTTTTTTAGCTTCCTTTCCTCCGGACAGAACTCCCAGCCCAGGTCACTCTGCCACAGGTGCCTGCTTCCTCTGAACACTGGAGCTAGACACCACATGTTGACCACATCTGTGTCACATGGACCATGCTACCACCATGCCCAAGGTGGCTGCCACCTGCTTCTAGTTTTCACTGGAAAGTGAGTAGCGCCACCAGCTTTGTAGGGGCCAAGGGTCTTCTATAGCATTGTGTCTCTCTGCAGGATGGCAGAGGGAAGGGAGCAGGGTCCTCCCATTCAGGAGCCCAGTACACCTCCCCTAAGCTCTGGGCCAGGACTCTACTCACTCTGCCCAGGCTGAGCACATGGACCCTGGACGACTGTCATGTCCTGCCTCTGTGAGGACACAGGCCTGGCACTTAGCTGTGTCTTAGTTAGGGGCGGGGTGGGGGGGGAATTGAAAATCTGTTGGTCATTTCTTTTTGATGCACCATGACTGAAAGATCATAACCTTGTTCCACTGCATTTTTCTGGCATCTGCTGCCGCAGACCTGATGGGTCACAGCCTGCGTGCACCATGTCTGCAGCAAACACAGTGGAGCCATCAGAACACAGCTAATACCACCATCCCAGGCCATGTCTCAGTCATGGTCTCACCAGACACAAATCACCCCGATTTCTAATCCCTCATAAGCTTCTGCTGGATACTCCAGATCCATAAGCCATTTAGACTTATCCCCCCCTCCCAAATGAGTGTTAAAATATAAACACTCATACAAAAAGACTGTAAAAATGAAATGAGAAATTAGTCATATGGATGGAAGTAACTACCCTGAACATGAAGTAATACAGGTAAGAAAATTGAGCAACAAGTTAGCTCTGAAATTCCTGGCAGCAAAGGTGAAAACAAGAAAGTTCTTGTTGCTGGAGAAAAGCAGCATCCCATTGACTGGCCTTGAAACGCCCCACACTGGTCCTTCTGTCCTTTGAAACCGGCTGTTTTAGATATCAGTGAGTAGAAAACAAGGCACAGTAGTAACCCAGGTCAACAGGCCTTCTACAAGCCAGGCACAGGTGGAGCGGCAGGCAGCAGGGTAGGAACATATTTGTCTGGCAGCCAACATGGCCCCTTGAGACCTACCCTGGACCTCACTCGATGGACCAAAATTTTGGCACAAGGCTTACTCAAACATTCTGAGAACAAAGGTTAGTGTGAGCTACATATTTCATGACCTTTCTAGAAAAACCCTGGTCTCCAGTACTTTGCTCTGGAAAAATGGCAAACACCTCTGTGTTCAAATGCACTCAAGGGTACCAGGTAAACAAAGGCATGCCACTCCCCAGCGGAGGAACTGCCAGTGCTGTCAACAGGAGATTTCTGCATCCACCCTCTTGGCCTGAATCCTTGTCTATTTGCACATTCACATCCCACAGACACCACGCAGGAAAGGCCAGCAGAGTAGAAAGGACACAGAACATCATGACAGCAGCCTGGCTCTGGTCCCTGACTGTATTGTACAGGCAAATCATTCCATTTCTTTAGGTCAGTGTCCTTGCCCATCCATGGGTCTGATGGTAAGACCCCATGGCCAAGGCTGCTGCAGTGACCCAATGCCACGAGTGTAGGTGCTTTTCAGACTGAAGCACTGTGCAGAAGCTGCCATGATGACCTACCTCCCAGGAACACGAATGGCATGGGTCACCTCCACCTGCTGCAGAAGCAATGGCAGCCAGGAGGCAGTGGCCTGCCATACGTGGATACTAGGGCGCAGGGCTGAGGACATCCTTAGTGACAGGGGCACTGGGCAGGGACTTCAGGTACTCCAGGTGCCTCCTGGCATCCTCCTGGTTGTGACGCACATAGTACACAACGTAGATGATCACCATGGTGAACCAGCCAAACATGGTGACCAGCATGGCCACGTCGGTGGTCTTGCGGTGGATGCTGCAGAAGCTGACACCCGAGTCCAGCACCTGGATCAGTGGTTTCCCCACGAACTCCTCCTGTGCCGAGGTGTGGCAAGCAATCTCATCAACCGAGTCGGGGTCCAGCTTCAGCTCCCACAAGGCCTCTTGCAAGGCACACTCACAGTGCAAGGGGTTGTGTGACAGGCGGATCTTGGCGCTCAGCTTGCTCAAGGCATCTTTTGGAATCCTCCGAATGCGGTTGTGGGACAGGTCCAGCAGCCGCAGGCCCCCGGCCAGTCCTGAAAAGGCAGCAGGGCCGATGGCCTCAATGGCGTTGTAGGACAGGTCCAGTTCCCTCAGCTGGTGCAGGTGCTGGAAAGCGCCATTGGGGATGTGGGAGATTTTGTTCCCATCCAGCTTCAAAAGCACCGAGTCCGCTGGGATGTCCTTGGGGATCTCCTGCAGGCCCTTCTCGCTGCAGTGGACGGCCACAGCCCCAGCATGGTCAGGGCACTGGCAGGCCTGCGGGCAGGAGGCACCCAAGCGCAGGCAGAAGAGGATGAAAAGGCAAGATCCCTGGGTGGGAGCCAGTGAGGGCGAGGGGCTCCGCTGTCTGCCCGTGAGGCCCATCTTGCCTTAGCCTTGGACAGTGGCTCCTCTTTGCTTCGGCCTGCAGATCTGTGCCCTTTCCCACTGCACCAGAAATCATCCAATGCAGATTCAAACTCTCATTCCTCAGGCGCCAGGAAGAGCGGTGTACTCTCAGTTCTAAAAGAGAAAAAGACAATGAAGGAAAAAGAAGAAAGGAGCCATCAGCACTGCCCACTGTGGTCCAGCTGGGAGTGGGGGACACTTTGAAGGAAAGCATGGCACAGGCAAAGCAAGTGTCTAGGGACAGAGGTCACACCCCCTTAAACACATCTGCCCTGTAACTTATACCCGGGGACTCTCAAGGCCACCCATAGGAGCATCACATAAGCCATACAGGACAGTTGGCCCGGGTCAGACCCTAGTCAAGTGGTCAGTCAGCCCTGCCGCCAGCCCTGACCACCCACCCACAGCTGGGGACCCGAGGCTTGGCGGGCGCCCAGGGATCAGCTCCACCCCAGTTCCAGGGATGGTCACCACGAGGACTGAAGACTGGGCGGATGGCTTCCCTCTTAATCAGCTGAAGCCAAGTCAGGCCGGCGGGCAGCCAGCGAGGGGCAGGCTCGCTCTCGCGGGCGGAAGGTGAGGGTGGGGGGACAGCCTGCTTGTCGCTGAGCTCATCTCCGGCGCCCTGAAGAAGCGGCTACCGGCACGCTGCACCGGGGGAAGAGGGAAGAGGGAAGCCAGCCCTGGGCGCGCGGCCCGGCCGGGCGAGGAGTGACGGGGCCGTGCGCCCGGGGCGGGCGGCGGGGCTCGGACGCGGGAGCTGGGCGGGATGCCCGGGTAGGGGCCACGCTCGGGGCGGGCGGGGGGTTACCTGCGCACGGCTGCGGCCTCTGGGAGCCTGACCCCACGCCACGCCCGCGCCCACCGCCAGCCGGGAGCTGTCGGAGAGGCAGGCAGGGGCTACGCGGCCGGGGCGGGGCCGGGCGAGGAGGAGCGGCTAGAGAGGGGGCGGGGTCAGGGCGAGGGGCGGGGCATGGGTGGGGCGGGAGAGGAGACCTGTGGAGTTCAGGAGGAGGTAGGGGCGGGGCCTGGGGGCGGAGCCTCGAGGGGCGTGGTCTGGAAGAGGGGCGGGGCCGGGGCGGGGAGGCCCGAATAGGGGCGGGGCCTTGTGAGGGGCGGGGTCTGAGCGAGGGGTGGGGCAGGGGCGGGGCGAGGAGACAAATGGCGTTCGGGAAGGGGGTGGAGCCCAGGCAGGGGGTGGGGCTGGGGCGGGGTTTTCCGACGGAAGGGGTACGGTGGTACTGGGATCAAGTGGCCACAGGCACTGTGGGCGTGGCCGTGGGCGTGTCCTGATGACCAGGAGGGGCTCTGAGGTCGCAGGCCCCGCCCCGAGGTGAGTTCCGCCCTCTTCTTGCCCGCGTTGCGGTGGCCCGGGTCTGCTGGCCTTCAATCACCGCAGAGTCCCCTCTCGGCCCCGTGCTGAGGGGCAGGTGAGTTAGGTCACCGTCATCTGGACCCCTGCTCCTCCACCCCAAGAGTTAGGGTCCTTGCATGTTGTCATCCCCAGGAGTGCAGGGAGGGTGGAGCCGGGCCGTTGAAGCTGGACCTAAGCCATCCGTAGGGTTGTTAAAACAGCTTTATCGTAGTGTCATTTCTTTTTCTTTTTTTATGATTTTATTAGCATACCATAGCTGTACAAGGGGATACATTGTGACATTTACATATGTATTTAAAATATATCTTACTTGGATTTATCCCCTCCATCGTTCTCCCTCTTCCCTCTCCCTTCCTTCTTAGAACAATTTCAACAGGTTTTATTCTTCTATTTTCATATATGAACACAAAATACATCCACCATAGTCACCCTCATTCACCCTTTCCTTGTTATTGTAGTGTCATTGATATAGGATAAATTGCTTATTTAAATTTAATACGTTTTGACATTTGTATGCACCCTTGAAGCCATCACCACTAACATAATTACATACCTCCCTGTCCCCTGCCGTCCCTCCTCACCAGGCAGTCTGCTTCCCGTCAATCAGGTTAGCTTGCATTTCCTACAACTTAGACAGATGGGATTGTCCCCTTGCTTAGCTTCTTTCACTCAGGCCGATGACTACCAATACTGATCCTCTCGGTGGTGAGTGGTCCTCCCTTGTTGAAGGAACGAGTGTGTCTATCTGTTCCCCTGGCAACTCTTGGGTTGTTTCTGATTTGGGACTCTTACAGAAAAGCTAATACGAGCATTGCTTTTATTTCTCTTGGGTGAATACTTCAAGTGCAGTGGCTGGATCACACAGTAGCTGTGTGTTTGACTTTCTAAGAAATTCTCAGTGAGGGTACAAGCTCCATGTCCTCATCAACACTTGGTACAGGCACTCTTTTCATTGTAGATTTTTTTTTTTTTTGCCTTATTAGGGTTTAAACTCGGACACTTGAGCTTGCTAATCACTCTATCATCACTTGAGTCATGGCCTCCAGTTCTTTTTGCTTTATTTTCAGATAGGGAACCACACTTTTGTCTAGGGCCATGTTCTGTTAGTGATCCTCCTACCTCTGCCTCCCTCCTAGCTGGGATTACAGGTGTGTGCTGCCACAACAGGCCCCTAACTGTAGACGTTCTAATAGGAATATAGTGGTGTGTTAAACTCTGTGTGGTGTTCTGTTGTTGTTGTTGTTGTTTTGTTTTGTTTTGTTGGGTACTGGGGCTTGAACTCAGGGCGTTCACTTTGAGCCACTCCACCAGCCCAGTTTTTTGTGATAGGATTTTTCAAGAAAGGCCCCTTGAACTATTTGCCTGGGCTGGCTTCGAACTGCAGTCCTCCTGATCTCTGCCTCCTGAGTAGTGAGGATTACAGGGGCGAGCCACCAGCACCCAGCTGCTCTTTCTTTTGCCTATATAGGTTCAACTTTCTCTTTCTTTTTGGTTTCTTCAGTTGGAATCCAAGGTCAATGGCTTTTAGAACTATGAATTTCCCTCATTGTTCTGATTTAATTGCATCCCAGAAATTTCAATGTTCATATTTTTGTTGTCATTTCATTTAGAGTACTTTATAACTTCTCTTTTGATGTGTATCATTTAATTTCCAGACATTTAGGGATTATCCACAGATTTTTCTGTTATTGACTATTAATTTAAAACCATTGATATCAGAAGGCATTCTAGATATTTGGGATACCTCTTAATTTTATTAAGACTCATTTTATGGCCCAGAATAGGGTTTATAACTGCCCTGTCTCCCACTGAATGTATGTCTGGAAATGTCACTGAGGTTGAGCTGCCGATTGTGATATAGAATAGTTTCTGATATCATGGACTTCCTATCTACTTGTTCCATCCATTATTGAGAGAGGGTGTAAAATCTCTAAGTCTAATTGTGAATTTGTCTGTTTCTCAGACAAATTTGTTTGTTCATTTTGACATCTTCAGATTACTGCACACCCTTTCATAGTGAACCTGTTATCACTATGAAATCCTGTCTGCCATTAATTCAGCCACTCTAGTTTCCTTTCGATTAGGATAGCACTGGATAGCTCCTACTGTACTTTTACTCGACCTAGCGTGGCTTTATACTTGGGTTTTCTTCAGGACTTTCACGATGTTAACATACCTTCATTAATATGCTCGCTAATTCCAAAGGAAAAAATAAACCTTACAATGGATGTGTCACGTAGACGCCGTGTCTGTGTGACAAGGTGAGGACCGTTGGCGGTCAGGGCACCGAGCGGGGCACAGCTCACTCCTGCAGCCCATTCTAGCCGTGAGAAGGTAGCAGACACACTCAAATCCAAAGACATTGTACAGAGTGACTGGTCAGTTCTCTCAGAAGAGAAAAAACCAGTAAAGACAGGAAAAGTCTAAGTTGCCGCTACAGATTGGAAGTCTAAGGAGAAGCGACAGCTGGGATCAACTCGATGTGGTATGGGATGCTGGGACAGACAAGAACATTAGTGGGAAATATGGGGAAACCTGGCTGGAGCTAGGTCACAGGTTTTGCCACTGGGAGTTTCCTGACTTTGGTGGCTGGCATTAAAGGGCAGACTGGATAGACTCGAGTCTGTCTTCCCACTGTTTCTCTCCCATTTGCCCCACATGGTCTTTGTTCTCTTGTCCTCTCTTCCTGCCTTGGGTTGGACTGGGTGTTTACTGTGGTTTGGGGATAAGTTTGATCGTCCCCAAGGGCCCATGTGTTGGAATCTTGGTTCCCAGGATGGCCCTGTTGGGAAGCATGGGACCTTCAGAGGCAGGACCTAGTGAGAGGTCTTTAGGTCATTGGGGGTGTGTCTCAAGGGATCTGTGGAGACGGGTGTGTTCTTCTGCAGCTCATACTCCCTGCTTTTTTCATCTGCACCAGGAAGCAATGTGGCCTGTGCCACACTGTGGGAATAGTTTTGTGAACCTCAAAACTCTGAGCTATATAAACCTTTTCTCTTTGTAACGTTCACTGCCTCAGGTATTTTATTTACTAACGTGAAGCTGACTGACACGGCATCTTCTGTATGCCCCCTTGGTTGATTTCCTCACTATAAGTCTGCTGCATCTTTGGGAGGGTGGCTGCCCTAGGATTTTGTGCACAGCCATGACCTATCACAGTCCTTCTCATGTGCCAGCACACTGCAGGCTTGGGGGCAGATGCCCTTGGTGCGTGCCACCACCCTCCACCATGGCCTTGGTGGTAATTGTCATACAATTTCTATGTAAATAAGCCCCAAAATACATTGTGACTATTTTTGCTTTAAACCATTAATTCTCTTTAAAAGAGATTAAAACTAATCTGAACCATGAAGTTGGTGTGTTGAATATTGAGGCGATGTCAAAGGGAACCACGAACATGATGGATTTTTTTTTTTTTTTTGAGAACTCAAGATCTTCCTGCCCGACCTCCTGAGTGCTGGGATTATAGACATGTGTCACCCTGGCCAGCTGAAATAGTTTTCATCTTTAAATCAAGCAAGGTAATTCAGTGACCACTGAACTCTACAGTGCAGAGGATGAATCCACTAACATCACATGGAGTACAAGGGACCAGACGGGTGAAAGGTACATGCTACACGGTTCCAATTTAGAAGTTCAGAACAGGCAAAGTGTGTGTGCTGGAAGGTCAGACAAGCCAGGGCAGCAACCCGGATGGTGCTCAAAGGATTGTGAGGGCTAGAAAGATCCTGTAAT